GTGTAGCAGAGAAGCAGAATTTGCTCCCAGTGGATGGTCATCGCTACGAGGGAACCACCAAAGCACACCTCGCATGGGGCTGCAGCCGCCGAGTCAAATGCAAAGATGCGAACGTCGTCATGTATCTAAAATGTGTATTGCTGGGACAACTTAAAGTGCGCGTGCCGAAATCAAAAGTGCTTGTGACGTTACGAACGGCATGACTCCAGCACTCTCCTCTGACGTTCTTCTTTTTTTCGTACTTAGCTGATGACACCGACGCATTTCTGTTACGTACATAGTGTTTTGGGCAGCGGCAGTGAAAGAACATTCTTACGAGGAAGCGCTAACAGGAAGCTCAAGCTCATTTCCATTCGGGAGATGGATTAGGTAACAAACGTGTTTCGACATCAGTGGCCTCAACTTACTCAACGCGCGAAGTTTGCCAGTGTTACGCTTCAGTATAAACACCGCAACACTATAGTGAAAGTAGAAGCTGTCACCGTTCCTTTCATCTGCGGTAACATCATTGAATTGTCAACGCTTAATAAGCTTCACGCAGTAGTCATTTCAAAAGGTACACCATTGACAAATGCATTTGTTCTCCCAAGCGTCAACTGCGAACCCAGAGTGATGGTGTTATCCATTGGCACATATGAAGCACTTCCGGTAATACTTTCTTCTGCTCCATGTAGAGCAAGTCTATTTCATTGGCGCATTGAAAGTGCTCATTGCATGTTCGGTTGGCAGATCTGGAGCAGCTCTGTTGCGAGATGCACTCCACGCAGCAACTTTTCCTGCTCCGCGAAAATCGGTGGATTTGACCGGAAGTCGAAAGAGCCCCTGCCTTGAAACCGTGCCAACTTTGGGTGCGCCAACGGTTGCCGGTCATTTTAGCTGCGCCTCGCGCTGGATCTTCCGTTTTTTTACAGTAGCATCGCTGTGCTCAGCCTGCCCACTCAAGCAAAAAGAGAGAGGCGCGCATCGAGTTACATTCTGACCGTGCCATTTGCTCCTGAGGAAGCGCGTGTGTTCCGTTGGTAGATTCCTTTCTGTTACCTTCAGCCAAAGCGAAGTGCTCCGGCGCAAAGTTCGTGGGTCACTCCTGATCCACCTTTGGATGGCGCCATAAGACTACCTATTAGATCGGATAAATCGTTGTAAGTACTTTGAAATACCAGCGAAGTCTGTTGGTGTCGGGTAACCGAGTGTTAGTCGAGATTAACAAGAAAATGGGTGGACTCTCCCACAGAATTGGTGGTCCATCAACTGTCAAGGAGCAAGGTGGAAGGTGTGATGGGGATAGTGGTCAAAAGAGGAGAAAGGCACATGAATTCTGCAGCCCGCTCGGGAGCACGGCCCAGTGCGTGTTGAAGGTGTGCGAGCAGTCATACCGGCGTTCTTCGAACAGATGCCTGTGAGGCGGAGGATTTATCTTGCTCGTCACGGCGGGTTTCGGAGCTCGATTCCAGTGGTATTGTAGCAAAGCCGTTCCCGAAGCAAGATATAGAAATAAGAGGGTCAAAAAGCCATCGATTTCTGAAATGGCCAGGATGAAGTTTCACTACCGAGGACATCAGCGAAGGATCCAGTTAGTGTTGCAATTTCCTTGAAGAAAGAAACAGTTCAATCTTCTGTAAAAATTATAAGGCCCCTTACGAGATCGGAACATGTAGAGAAGATCGCCAATCCAAAAATGTCGAAAGTATTGCGCGAAACAGGTACGAGAAGAACCTCAGTTGTGTTTGACGCCTCTTCAAACGGAGCATAAGGGAACCTTCTATCTCCTACTTGAAGAGGGACCTGAAGGTAAAGAGACTCTTGATGTCGGCTCTCCCTTCGACAACGCCACAACATAAGACGGCCACTGGCCTGAGTGGCTGCTGCAGTATCAGCATTAGGCAGAGCTCAGTTCGAGTGACATGCATCGACACCGTCGTCTTGGTGGCATTAATGACCCTCTCGCTGATGTCTCTGAAGTGTTCTGGTAACTAAGAAGGCACTCACGTGTTAAAAAAGTGCGCAGTATAATGATGTGATTTTGACTGAATGCTGTTTCAAGAGTTACAACATATTTCTAACGGATAGTGTGTCCTTATCGAAGCTGCTTCAAGTCACAGAATCCACAGTGTTGTACCTGTAGCTGCAGTGTGATACTACCGTGAAAGCATATATTGTCATCGCTAAGCGTGTGTCAGTTAGTGAAGTGCACATATGTTAAGTTAAATTGAGGTTAACACATCTACGAATGTTTCCTGTCTTTTTATTGTGGAGTTTCATATTCTGATAAGGAGGAAGTGATGTTCTAGACAGATAGTCGTGAACTGAAGTTGAAGATTCTGAGACGCATTATTTTAGGAGTTCTCTACACTCGCGCACATAACGACTAAATTGTAGCGATATTTCTTGAGGGCAGAATGTGTGAAACGATGGATTCTCAAAAACGATGTCCGCATAATGACGTAGTGATGGACTGGTCTTTCTTACTTGAATACGCCAGTCGCTGCTAATGGGCAACGAGAGACAACGGACTTCGATTGCACACAGAGACGCACAGTCAGCTTTTCGAAAACGCACACGCTGATATCTTGTCGTTCAAAAACGCACAGGAGAATTCTCCCACTGGCACTACCTTGGAGGTAAAGGTCCACTGCCTATATATACGGCGTGCCCAGTTAACGCCTGTGCAGCGCGAGCAGTCAGTTAAGAAACTCGCTAGCAGACGCTGCCTACGCCGGTTAGGGAAGGTGATAGAGGGCGAGGATAGCGCAGGAGAGGAGAGGGGGACGTCAATGCGCAATGGCGGTGTAAACGCCACCAGGAAGGATGCCTGGAAAGAGAGAGAGAGAGAGGAGTGTTGGCAGGCTTGCAGGCGCTGCCTGCATCAGTGTTGCGAGGTGAGAGATGAGGCCATAGGAGCGGAGAGAAGCTGAGTCGGACGCACGTGAAGTGAGTGTGGCCATGCCGCAGAACAAAATGAGCTAAACTGCAAAACGCTACAGATCTAAAAATCTAGGATTGAATGGGACTTGAACTCGCATCGTAGAAGAATAAAGTAACAACCAGGCATGAAATAATGCAAATTGCACACCTAACGAATAACTCTGTGATTTCATCCTTATATAAACTACTTAGCCGAATTTATTCGCCGTCATGAGGTGCACTACAAAGTGCGCATAATGACTTAGGTGTATGTGGGGCTTTTCTTATTTATTTATTTATTTATTTATTTATTTATTCACAATACCTTACAGGCTCCTAATTGGAGCATTGTGTAAGGGGGGCGATACATGGTAAAACATGACTTGAGACAAATATAAAAAAATGAAATCAAGATGGTACATTATGGAAAGTGCACTGTGATCTAAACGACTGCCAGAAAAGCAATAGTAACACCCCAGTAGAAAAACTAAAGGATATCCTAAAGGTTATCCTAAAGGATCTTCAGGATAACAATCATTGGCACATTAAGTGCTTGCCTACTTCCTTAAGGTTACTGCGGTTTATGGAGTAATAAGTACCTTTTCTATGCGTTTGTACGAGTTGCCGCAAGGTAGTCTACAACGGGTTCAGGAAAGGACGCTATTTCACCTTCTGCTGGGAATTGGTTGTGTGTTCTGCGCAGGCCTGCTCTTTTTTAACCCGACAGTGTTTTATGCCGGGGTCCACATAGTCTCCATTGGCGTAGTTGCGTAATGGATGTTACGTTGTAGAATATGCACTAAGGTATAGAGAAAAAAAACTTGAAAAAGTTCAGCTGCCGGTAGTCGAACCTACACTGCGCACTGCTCGAAATACCTTGGCCACAGACCATACATTCTCCAGCATGCTGAGCTATTATATACACCAATTGACGTTCGGGGTACTCGGAGATTCGCGACAATTCGTATTCTTGTAATTACTAGCGAAAAGCCGTGAACGGCTTGGAGGGACTATTTTAAAGGTCGTCTAGCACACGCGTTGCGTTGCGCACATAATCCTATGGGCGTCATTTCTAAAGGCTGCTTCTACAGGGATAACCTCTTGATGGCGGCTGTTTATACTTGTTATGCTTTTTACGCAACCTTGAGGAGTTAGAGCACGAAGGTGCCTTCGTTTTGCTGCGGCGGCCACATCAGTGAAAGAGGTGCGCTGGTCACATTAAAGAAGGAACCATTGTGGCGGTTCTTAGTTCGCACTCATATTGTGTGATATTCTGGGTTCGCTTCATGCGTAATTCTTTGTGTTTTAGCAGCGCCCTTCAAGTGTAGAGCTGTGACAGTTCTTACTCTGCGCTTGTCCTTGTGCGTCTCGTCTGATTCTGGAGCACGCTTCAAGTTTCGAGTGGCTTCTTGTACTTGAAGTGACATTCCATTATGTTGCTTTAACACTATTGCTTGTCTCTTGCGGTAAAACAGTGCTCAATAAATGCTCCACTACCTCTGCGTAGACGCATTCCATCATCGGTGCTTTGCAGTTTTCCATAACAGAAAGATGAGCAAGTTTTTTTTAAAAAACCACCACTGGCTGGTTTAGTCGCTATGTTTTTTTCTTACTCCTTTGTTCACGTTTACACACTACTTTATTTCAAACAAACTGCGACAGTGGCATATCCGAGTATTTGTTCAAGCAATGTGTACCTAAACTCGAGTCATCATTGTTATAGACGAGTTGCCACCTGAAACGCCAGAAAAAATGTACTTCACTGTGACTTTAGCTCCTACCATGAACCAAGATGTTCACAGACAGACAGACAGACAGACAGACAGACAGACAGACAGACAGACAGACAGACAGACAGACAGACAGACAGACAGACAGACAGACAGACAGACAGACAGACAGACAGACAGACAGACAGACAGACAGATAGATAGATAGATAGATAGATAGATAGATAGATAGATAGATACGCATGAAGAATTAGAATTACTGTTGCCTATTATGGTTTGTTGGTATACTTTTTTTTCGATTTAAGTTGCCACTTTGCTAGGTATTCTTCGCATCATTTGCAGCCTTCCATTTTTACACTTACTTTGCAGTACTGAAAAAGATATTATCGTGGATAACATTATGATTCCTGGAGGCTCGGTTGTATTATTTAACCTATGGGCTGTCAATCGAGACCCTTCGCTTTGGAGAAACCCACATCACTACGACCCCACTCGCTTCCTTTGTGAGGATGGCTCCTTGATGAGAGAAAAGCCTGCTTATCACGTCGGCTTCTCCTTTGGTGAGTATAGAATCCCTTGAGGTAATCCTGAGTGTGGGCCCAGTTTGTAGCCGTAGTTCTTTTACTATGTGCGTAACATCAGGCCGATGTTCTTTTTTATCTCTTAAAGAAGTTTCGTTTAAGAAGCCTGCCTTGTAATATTATGAGGCTGGTGTGTCATAAGCCATAAAAATGAAATTGTTTTTGACACCTTCGTACGGTAAAGCGCTTTTGAACACTGATGTCTTTCCTACATGTGTGAGTTTTACGTGAACGCGGAATAATTTGTTCACCCTTTGGGCAGTGCGAAGTCAGCTGAGGAGAGCTGACGCTGATGCCAGCAGCCTGATTTTTACTGGAAAGAATTTGCAGTGTTTATTGCTTGAAATAAATGAAACTCAAAGACATACAAAAGTGAGGCAAAGAAAACTCCTGGTTGATTAATACGACAAAACAAAGGCGGTTCTTTTTCATCCGTGTCAACTATCTGTCACCTTTGGTAGTCCCGTGCTTCTAAGTTGGGGGCCTATCGAAATTGTAAACTATATCAAATTTTAGGTGTACTGTTTCAAAAGAATTTGTCCTGCGACGGTCATTTTGACTTCGTTTTATGTCGCATGGCTAAATGTGTGGGTGTTATTGCAAAACTTTGACACAACCTGCCTGTAATATTAAAGCTAATGCTTTAAAAAACGCCTATTTTGTCTGATATTATTTACTGTTTTTGGAGTGGGAAAATTCCTCACTGCGAAGAAACCTTAAAATACTTTTGTTACAAAAAGGGCTCTTCGTTCCATAGCAAACGTTGAATATCATGCGCACACAAAGGATTTCTATCTTCGTTTCAATGTGTTACCTGCACATAATTTGACTTCAAATTACCCATAAAATATGAGAAATCGGTTGTTACATATTAACATGATCTCATCGATATCGCGAATCTAAGCGGAAAGGGCCCTTTCAATTATTTGCCAAAACAAAACTTCCGTACCGTTTCTTTTTGCCAAACTGTATATGGGAAACAGATGTTAGGTTATTATTTGCCTCACTTGCTCATCAATCTGCTGAATAACTGTATATGGAAAACAGACGTTAGGTTATTGTTTGCCTCACTTGCTCATCAATCTGCTGAGTAACGAAATGGAAATAGAAAAATGCACTATAAAAGATGTAAAGAAACGCTTTTGTAAGTAATTTCATGCAAGAATAAATACTGTACTGAAGAACGGTACACTTGCATTATTTATTAGTAAAAGATTTTGCTTTACGATCGCCTCGTGATAGTTATTTATACATATTTTGTACAGTTTGATTGTGCATAGTATAGAAACATTGGTGTCAATTGTCCAATTACTTTATTTTCTCTTGTTCTTTCTTCATGTATTTAACGTGATCGTTCTGACTTTTCGCGACAGTACCCAAATTTGTTGCATGACGACATTTGGGATATTTTTACTTTCATGTGTGTTAAGCGTGAATAATTGGTTTTGTGCTAGTATTTGCACATACTTGTGTTCTGGACTGTATAACTTGTATATGGGAGTTTTGGCTTTCTTCAAGCGAATCGTTTCGCTTTTCGCCCAAGCTCACCCACATGTTTTAAGATGTAAATAAACTGTGATTTTATTTTATTTGAATAGTCGAGCAAGCACTAACCAGTATGCAGGAATGATTGTCGTCTACCAGCTACATTCAAAGTTTTCAAGCTGTTAAGACGTGGTACTAAAAAAATACAAACTAGCCAATAGAGCTGTAAAAAGTGGAGTTGTATGCAAGAAGCTTGAAACCTACAATTTCTTTCACGCAGGAAAACGATCATGTCCGGGAGAGCCGTTCGCTTTGATGCAAATATTTTTGATGGTAGCCAACATGCTTCAGAGGTATAAGGTCGAGCTTGGTGAACCACTCGCCTGCGATCTCGATGACCCCGCAATCGACCTTGGCGTGCTGAAAAGGACAAGGCTGCGCTTCGAGCGTCGCTTCAAGAATACGATCACATGAATTGGAGTACACCAATAAAACATCATTTCTCATTCGCACCATTATCTTTGTATCGGATAATGGCCCTGAGGTTGACAGCTTGCATTACGTATATCGTGGTATAATGTGCACGAGAGCGTCAAGGTGCATTCAGTTCACACGCTTTTTACTCGAGTAAGAAGCAACATAAAGAGCGAAAAAAAAGCAAGGAGCAGGGCATTTGTGTTCGCGTTATTCTGCATTATTGCAGGCTTTTGTTTTACATTCACTTGAATTCCAATCCGGTGATACGAACCAGCCCTTTGATGTCATACTGGGTATAGTGAATTGGTTACAACTTTGAAAGTCTGGCATTTTCCTCGCAAAGGTTTATGCATACAAGCATGTACCAATGACCGCTCTTCAGAATGACGTCATCACCAAGATGACTGGTGACGCTATATCTTCGGAAAACATGGGCGATAGTATATGCGAGGGATTATTACTTCATTCGCGGAGGTGGCCGGCTGCCACGCTTAAATTGTTTGGAAAGGGGCGGGAGGGAGTGGGCGCCCTCCAAGCTTTTTCAGTTGTATCCGAATCTAGTCCGTAGCATCAATGCTAACGCTTTTTGATCAATCACGTGAGTTCCGGAAGCTGTGGCGCTGAGCTGGCACGTATACGAGGCACTTTACTGTACCTTCGCTACAGTACTACTGTTCTCTCCCGTGCTTGAACATCGGCTATACGTATACACTCTAGAGCTAAACTCAGACGTGCGCCCTAAGCATTCGCCTAGGGGTACCTCCATGCACTTCTACATGGGGCCCTATTGCAGAAGCACGTGCTTGCCCAGCTCGTGTTCATCTTCACAAACCGCTGCGAGTACATCTGGGGATTCTGACAAGGCATCAAGGCCATCCACCGGCAGACACTTTTAGCACACGACTCGATGCAGAAGCAATAGCTTCTGCATCGGGTCCACATGTGATCACCGACAAACCGCGCTGGACGATGCCTAAGCCGATCGTGCGACTTTTGATCCCAGGAATGACAAAGAAGTCAAAAATATCAACTGAAAGTTGAAAGTTGAAAGTTTTTGAAAGTTGAAAGTTGAAATTTTATTTCACCACAATGATACACCGTGATTTACACAAACAAGAAACAATTGTGGTATGGAAAGTAGGAAAAAAGCTGCGCTATAGCAGCTTGACAAGCCCCACCTCCTGCTGTTTTTTATGCATTTCGCTTTGTCGTAAATTGCCTATATGAACGGGTATATAGTGAACATTTTTGAAGATGGCCCTGTCACGCAGGCCTGCTCAGCAGCATCTTTGACTCTGCCTCAAACGGAAATTACTCAACGCTTCAAAATAGCACACCGGACATCATCTACTGCCGCTGAGCTGACCGGCGTCCGACAAGCTGTGCGCTACATTTTACAGCAGTGTCCAGCGAAATGGAAATTATTTTAATACTCCAAGCCGACCCTTCAGCTAATCATAAACTATTTGAAGGAAGACACTGCATACGGTCTTCTGGTGTGTCACATAATGAATAGGTTTAATGAGGCATTTCAATCCAGACATACCGTTGCGTTGCAATAGATTCCCAGCCATTGTTGCTTACCTGTGAGTGAACAAGCTGACACAGAAGCAAAAATGCATCCTATAGCAGCGAAGTGATACCACTTCATTTTTTCCGATATGACATCAACGCTTGCTCTCTAAAGGTATGAAGACACCTACGCAACGGCTGTGGAATAATCTGGATTATCGCCACGAGCGCATTGATGAACTTGACTCTTGTCTTGATTTTCGCCTTCGTTTCTGACTTAGGAGAGACCAGGAAACGCTACTACATATACTGTTGCTTAGTGTTGCATGCACGCTACGATACCTATGCAAGATTGGACAAGAGCGAAATCCTAACTGCATTTTGTGTAAGGCGCCAGAGACTACTAATCTCATCACGTGTGTGTGTGTTTTATACGTAGTCGAAAGACAATCTCTTAATAGTCTCATAAATATCCTTGACTGCCGATCCTTTTAAGAGGAGAAACTTTTGGGTGCTTGGGAACGTGTGGCTCACGCCCGATGCAGCTTAAAGTGCTTGCTCACATGTCTAAGCAAGACAGGTTTACATTTTCGTCTTTAGTTCATCTGCTAACGCAGAGACTTTTGTGCGTGTCCTACAAAAAAGAAGAGATTGTGTGCAGTGATTACTGGCCGTCGCACAAGCTCTGGAATAATCTCGAGTGCTTGCGTTTTGCACGCATTCCTAACATAATCATTTAAAATGATCGCGAATCTCCTCAAACAATGAGGCGCAGCTTACGATGACCAATCCCTGGCCCAGGCTTTGTGGGCGAAAACCGCATAACGAAAGGTACCATAAGAAACACGCGAGGCATTGCCGCTCTCTGAAATATAAATGAACAATAAAACTAGTGACAATAAAGTGAGATATTTCAATATAAATAGGTACAAGCAATAGGGCACATTGCCTGAGACATAACAAGTAGTACAGTCTTTATGATCCTTAACGCGCAAAACAAACTGGCTAAGTGCAAAATAAAAGTACTCCTTCCTGAGAAATCGTTCCAAATTTTTGCTTTTAGAACAACTTCCTTGTACCCCTTACATAAAAAACAATAAAAAATTACTTTGCAAAATAGTTGGGAATTTAAATAGACTAAGGTACTACGTTCCAACAAGTATCAAGCTACAAATTTACTACGCTCTAGTACACTCAAAACAAACATACTGTTCCTCAGTGTGGCTGACAACGACTGTCGCAAACCTTAATTCTCGTTTAGTACTACAAAAGCGTGATATACGCGGAATATCTTACATTGAACTCCCCTAAAGTGCTCGACCACATTTCAAAAGCTACAAAATATTGCCCATCGATCAGTTATACTGACTCAAGCTATGATCAGAGATACAACGCCAGTATAATATGAGCACATCTCTAGTCTTGGATTCTCGTTATTTGAAATAAATAACATAATAATTACTTAAGATCCTAATATACAAACCTAGATCACGCACAAACTGCGGTAACCAACGGTTAAGCTGACGCATACCAGACATACTGAATCAATACCCAACAATATTTCGTTTATTGGAGAATAGAAAATGAGTGCATAAAAAATAAGAAGAAAACATATAACAGAAGAAACCTATCCCTTTGATCCTTGAACTTTTGTGACTATATATGTCTTGTATTTGTGTACCCATTGTTCTTTATGGCCTGTCACCGTTAATTGCATTACTTTGATTTACATGTTTAGATCACTAATTTTTTTTACCATACTGCAGCCCCAAATGGCTATCGCAGGAGTGGGCTAATACAATACAGGAATCAGAAACACAGGATAGGACAAACACTAAATTCGCTGAACATCATTCGCTGAACATCAAGAATTAGTAATATATAATAAGAAGTCATCAAGTGATGAAAATTAAAAAAACACAGACAGAGCATTCTATAATTCTATAGAATTAACAAAATACCTAATTTAAGCGCCACCGTACGGTGAGAAAAAGTAGCCATGTTTAAATCTTGGTAATGCCGGGTGGCGGTTGGCTTAGCGAGTGCGATGTATTGACCTAATAGGGGGGGTTCATGCAGAATGAAATAAATTTCAAACGAATTTCAAACATTCTACTTGATGACGAGAAAAGAGACTGGTAAGCTTAAGAATGAGGAGATAACAACTAGGTGAAAAATACCTGTCATAGCGATGGTAAATGAAGCGTACAACCGTCTTCTGAAGAAATTCTATTTTGTGATGTCAAAAATTTTGTGCAAGAGACCCTTATTGCAATACTAGATGAACCGAAGTTTCGTAAATAAGGAGTCAAATGCGAAGTGGTGTTGAACATAGTGTGCGTCGCAGGTAGTCTAACTTCCTCAGCGATCGGTTACACGTGAATTCAGGGTGATGAGACAAAGATAAATCATGGGTGAAAATGAGGCCTATTTATTTATATTGCGAAGCATTACCAAGAGGGCAACCATTTAACGAATAGGTAGAGGGAGAGGGGGAAGAATCATTCGTATATGACATTGATACAGTTTCCTGGAAGTTTATTTTCATAGATGAAGTGTCACACCATGATTAAAAATATGCGTAGGAATGATGAAATATGATCTGATCATGAGAAGCTTTAATCGTATGATACAAAACATGGTCATCTGAATACATGCGGACTTCAACAGAAATATTACTTGGCAGATCAGTAATGAAAGTCAGAAACAATAGTGCGCCTAATATTGAGCCTGGGGCACGCTAGATGTTACAGGGCAAGTGGAGAAATTAGAGGACCAGAAAAGTACGTACCGAGAACCATTTGGTTGGAAAAAAGAGGTGCACTTAAATAATGTTTCGTTTTTAAAAATAACAGTGAGCTTATTTAACAGTTTATAATGTGACACAGTGTCGAAAGCTTTAGAAAGATAAATGAATATTGCGTCAACTAGATCACCCGCATCAAGAGCCTGCATGATGTCATGAGAAAATTCACTGAGCTATTTTACGGTAATAACCAGCGTCGAAAACGATGCTGGGCATCAGATAATACATTATTACAGTCAAAGAATTCTATGACACGTTTGTAAATTGTGTTGTAAAATATTTTACTAGAATGGCTTGTGATGAATAGGGGTCTGTATTTCAATAAAGACTGTTTGTTTCCAGAATAGAATAATTGAAGAATTTTACCGGTTTTTCAAGCTGTAGGCACAACAGATGTCGCGAAAAATTTCTGAAAGATAAAGGTTAGATATTAACTACCTCATAAGGAGTAGCTATTAAAAATTCATTGTTAATATTATCAATACTACCTTTCTTCTTTGCATGTAGCTTTAAAATGAGATTCAGCACACCCTGGTTTGAAACAACGACATCGTTAATGTGGCTGCTAGGCTTCCCTGTAAAAGAAGCAACATCGGAGTTACCAACAGTAGAGACGGGTTAGAAGTAATCTATAAATGCATTAGCAATTTCAGTAATGTCATTTGTAGCCGTGTTATTTATTTCAAATGTATCTCTGGTGAATTCCATTGGTATAACAGA